GAGGAGGCTCAGAGGAGGCTAATATCAATAACTGGACATTAGGAACAGTGTTGTGGTGAGGCTGGCACAGCCTGCATGGGAGGTGGAGGAGTCACCGTCTGTGGAGGTGCTCAGAAAAAGGCTGGATGTGGCACTGAGGGACGCGGTTTAGTGGACGTGGTGGTGATGTGCTGACTGGGTGATCTTAGAGGTCTCTTCCAACCCGAACGATTCTATGATTTTATTTCCAGACCTTCTTCTTCTTCAGACAAAGATGAAAACCTTGGTGCTTCCATGATTCTATGAAACCTTTCACCTTTATGGACCGGTCTCTAAAAAATCTGCTCGTCATTGCTCGAATGCTGAGACAGAGATAACACAAGCAGCGAGGAAGGGGAGCGCATTTGTTTACAAGCCATTGCTATTCCTGGCTACTCCCAGGCAGCAGTTTCTTGTCTGTGATGATTACAGTCTCTTCTGAGCCAGCAGTGAGCGATCAGGGCAGTCAGGTTCCATAAGATGGGTAAATGTTGGCATGCGAGTCCTTTTAGGTCCTTTTAGCCAGCTGAGGAGCTGTGAGACACAAAAAGGGGATGACAGAGGCAGCCCAAAGCACCGTGCTGAGCTGGGTGCAAGGCTGCATTTAACCCAGGGCTATGCCAGTACTCCTAAGCACATCGCCAAGCTCGGAGCCACGTTCAGCCCTCAGCCAGACCGAGGTGAGCACAAAGCAATCTGCCCTAAAAGCCACCAGATATGCCAACATATATATGTGAGCTTTGTCTCTTACCGGCTTAACGATCTACTTAATTGCTTCCAGACATCATCAATTAAGTGAATATTGGGGTGGAGAACCGACAGCTACAGACTTGTGACCTCAATTAACCTTCCTGCACGAATTCACCACATCAGTGCTGTTTGGATGCAGGTTTTCCATGGTTAAGCCAACTTCCAACAAGCTGTGGGCAATGCAGGTTTGACATCTGGCAATAGCTCATCTCAGATCTGCCATTATCTGACCGTAGCTCCGGTCAGCTCCTTTCCACCTGAAGGGGATGGCAAACATCGTCAAGAAGGTCAAGAGTCCTTCTTGTCCTTTATGGGCAGCACAAAAGCCATGAGCTGTGGTGAGGAATGGGCTTGGCAGTAGGAAAATGTTCTGAAAGAGGAGCTCTGCAGAAAGGAAGGTGTCTCCGCGGTGAATTATTGTTGTATGCTTGTACATCAATCTATTGGGAGATGAGTTGCTGTTATACTGGCGATGTGATGGGGCTGGGTGGTTACCCTGGGGCTCCCAAAATCAAAATTCAAGAGATCTTTGGCTCTCTCTGATGAGGAATGCTGGGTGGCTGTTGGTTGGTTGCAAAAGTAGTCAGCTGTGTGTTTTACACGGACTCTGATTGCGTGGCTGATATATGGACCGTGTCTGAGAACTGCATAGAAGTGAAGTCCACCAAATCTGTGTAATGCAATGATCTCTACTCAGCAGCAGAGAAGCAGGTCTATAAAAAGATGGGTGAGGAGAGAGTTGAAATCTCAGCGTCACATCCTGGGATCTGTGGGTCTGTTCACTTCTCACGAGGCCAATCTGCAAGCAGCCAAACGCGGCAGCTCCTGCGGTGCTTTGCTCAGCACTGAGCACCTCATTCTCTGGGGGCACTGGAAAACAAATGCGATCCGTTTGCAACAGATCTAATGGAGTACAGCAAGCCAGGGAAAGCTGGCTGGAAGTGCTCCTCATTTCTAGAAAATCTGCAGGATTTTGACTACCGCAATGATCAAAACTTGTCACTTTGCACATTACTGAATTGACAAACTGCACGAAGCATAACCCTATCAGCTTTTTGAGCTGATGAATTGCACAGAAAATGCTCTGAAGCGTGTTGACAGGACCTGAAGTGCTGCTCCACCTGAAGTCATCAAAGATGGGAACGATGCTCCCATCGTTGGTGTTGATGTACAGCTCAAAAATCACCAAAATTACTGCAATATCTCCCTAGCGTGGCGTTTCCAAATGGGCTGCAGCTGCAGCCGTCCTTGGGCTCTGTTGGTGGAAGCAAAGGGCTCCATCATGCAAGGCTGGGCTGGGGCTGAGGGCGTGGGGGGCAGCTCCTCTGTGTGTGTAGCTCTGAGCAGGGCTGGGGCACGGCCCCACAGTGCTGTCCCATGGCCTGGGCCCTGAGGCACTGCATGGGGCTGTGGGCAAATAGACAGGAGGGAGCACGGAGCGTAAGGCAGCCGCAAGAGGGGTGAAGCTGCGGGGCAGTGGGGAGAGCTCCCAGAGGGGGCTGCTGTACATCAGATCACACCAAGGGGGTGGGACCATGAATATACCAGAAAAGGGTAAACCAAGGCACCTCATCCCAGGAAGAGCTGAGTCTGAGGCTCGTTGAAGAGCATCTTTTAATAATCTGGATGGCTTAGCAATACAGGGTGAGTAAGGAGTAACACTGCCCAGAGCAGCACATGGGTTTGCAGGTTACCTCTGAGTGAGAGGATGGATGTATTTGTAGGATCTCGGATGTGTTTGTAGGATCTCAGATGTGTTTGTACGATCTCGGATGTGTTTGTAGGATCTCAGATGTGTTTGTAGGATCTCGGATGTGTTTGTAGGATCTCGGATGTGTTTGTAGGATCTCGGATGTGTTTGTAGGATCTCGGATGTGTTTGTAGGATCTCGGATGTGTTTGCCCTCTCCACATCAGCAGTTCTGGCAGGAGGCACTTTTCTTCCCTGCCAAGCTGGCTCGTGCCATTGATGGCTCTGCATCCCTGCATCAATGGCCGTGGTCTGACTGCACTGCAAGAAGAGCCTCTCTGCAATGAGCTCTTATGGCCAGCATCGTCTTGGCAGAGCTCACACAGTATTGGCTTCATGGAACTGGCATTACACTGCAAAAAGCAATGACTGGAAACAGGCCGACGTGCCTGCTGGCTTGTGTCATGTGCAGGGCTCGAAGCTTGGCAGAGATTATGTAGAGGTCAGGAAAGTCAAATGTCTGGAACCAGGGAGATAAAATCTGTCCCTTAGGTACAATGGGGAAAGAAGTGCCTGAGAAACGTGTATCTCTTCCCAGTCAGCCTAATTTCACCTTCTGTGCATCTGTTTTCCCTGAAAGTGGCATTAATTTGTGAAACTCCTTGATTGACAGCGTAAATGATGAAACTTGCTCCAAAAACCAGCCCAGATGGATTTTGGGATGTGGTTATTAAGAAGGGAGAAAGCACATCCGGACTAGGAAGTCCCCCCCGAGCTTCAAATGATTGGAAGATGGGCAGGCACTCAAGGGAAGTATGACAGGAATCAGCTCCTGCCTCCTTCCCTACCGGTCTGCTATTGGTGCTGGACATAGGAGTAAGGCTGAATGGAGCAGAGCCACAGAATTATTAAGGTTGGATAAGACAAGGCTGGAACTTCACCAGGCCGCCACGATCGTCCCAGTATGAGGGATAATGGCTGGGCAGCCCGTTCACGATCCGTGAAGGCCTCGTGCTGGAGGTTTGCCACCACAGGGTTTGTGTATGCAGGACCCGTGGGCATCGTCCCCCCGCACACTGCATGGCGCTGCCGGGGCTCGGGGCTGATGAGATCCCACCTCTTCTGGCACTGACTTCCGGGGAGCCCAGCAGGCAGAGGAGACGGCTGCTGTGGTTCCGAGTGGGCAGAAGAACGGAAACGTGGAGCTTCCAACCCGCCTTGCTCTCTCACCATCAAAGAGTTCTTCATTTCCTCTCGGTGCGTTGGTCTCAGGAGCCCCGGGCAGGCGCTGGGGAACGCCGTGCCCCCCAGCACCCAGCGGCCCAGCACTGCGAGAGAGAGCCAAGGACAGGAGCCGAAGCAGCCCTGAACATCCCCTCCTCCTCCCCCCCTCACCCGGGGGCTCTCAGGGGCTTTGCAGAGCACAGAAAGCAGCCGGCCCTTCCGCGCCGCGCCGTGCAGACGCGCCGCTCTGCCTTCCAGCCCCGCCGGCTCACAGCCTGTGCTTGGGCTGCACAGCTCCGCCGTGCTGCTTTCCCCCAGCCGGGCCGAGGAGCCCACGGGTCGGGCTCTGCAGTGCTGCCCAGATACCCATCGCAGGCACCGGCTGTGGAAGACAGCTTCTGGCAGCACATCTGTTTGCTGGGATGGCTGCACCTGGGGAGCAAGCGCCGGGTCCAGACGCGCGTCAGGCCAGAGGTTGGTGTCCGCGAGTGCTTCGTGTCTGATTGCTGCCTGCAGCCCCTGCTCAGCCCAGGACACAGCCCTGCGCGGAGGGGAGGAGGCAGGGAGGGAGCCGCTCTCCGTGCTCCGCCGCTGAGCTCTTCTCTGCACTCGGAGCTCAGACCTGCGGGTTGTTATCCCTCTACCTCTTCCCTGGTGACAGCAGCCTGGGTACCCACAGCATCCCTGGCTCCGCTGCAGGGTTTGTATTTCCTTCAAGCTTCTCCTGATAACAGAACACCTAATTGTGCAGGCTCCACACGTGAGTGACTGAGAGAATGAAGATGGAGTGGGGAATGGCATTGTCATGGCTGTGCTGAATGTCCCAGGCACCTCCTGACACCAGATCTCGCCTTGCACGTTTGGAGGAGCTCTGTGTAGTGCTCGGTGCAGGGAGCCAGGACCACTCAGGAGCAGAGCCCGAGGGAAGCTGAGTGCTGAGCATCCCCTCCTCCCGCTGCTGACTCCAAGGTCTCAGCTGGGCGGTGGTGAGCAGCCAACAAAGAAACGTCTCCACAAGCAATGGACTGAAGGAGACTGCTGCTGAGCGCCGGTGGCACAGTCTGAAACTTGAAGAGCATCTGAAGTTCTTGCCATCCAACAGCCCCATTTCATCAGCAATTTCGCTCCGTTCCCTTCTCCCTTCTCCTGTTCCATCACAGAGATCCCATCTCACACACAGCAGTAGCAGTTTGGGTTCCCTATCTGGCACGTGCGTCAGTGCGTTGCCCTCAGCTTCGCGCCCTCAGTTCTGCACATCCCATGGGTCCCACTCTGGGGTCTTTTTCACATTCGTAAGCACAGAAGCAAGATCCTCCCGCATGGCTCCTGGCCCCTTCAGCCTCCCCAACAGCAGCTCCTCCTCCTTCGTCCTTGTGGGTGTCCCCACCCTGGAAGCTTTCCCCATCTGCCTGGGCATCCTTTTCTGCTCAGCGTACATCCTCGCCCTGCTAGGAAATAGCACGGTCCTGCTGGTCATTGCACTGGACAGGTCCCTGCGGGACCCCATGCACTGCTTCCTGGCCATGCTGGCCGCCATCGACGTGGTGATGGTGACGTCCATCGTCCCCAAGCTGCTGGGCATCTTCTGGCTCCGTTCCAACCAGATGGGTTACACCGCCTGCTTTGCTCAGATGTTCTTTGTTCACTCCGCCACATCAGAGGAGTCAGGAGTGCTCCTGGCCATGGCTTTTGACCGCTACGTGGCCATTTGTCACCCCCTCAGGTACAGAATGATCCTGAATCGACAAACAGTTGCCCGGATATGCCTGGCCATCGTGGTGAGAGCACTGCTTTCCATGGTGCCGTTGACAGGGATGGTGACAAAACTCCCCTACTGCCGTTCCCTCGTGGTTCCCCATTCATACTGCGAGCACATGGCTGTCACCAGTCTTGCCTGCGCAGACCCCAACCCCAGCAGGCTGTACAGCATATCCATGTCCTCTCTCATAGTAGGGACGGACACAGCTTTCATTGCTGCGTCCTACCTGATGATCCTGAAAGCTGTCCTGGGCAAGGAATCGTGCAGGAGGGCCTTCAGCACCTGCGGGTGCCACATCTGTGTGATGATGCTGTACTACATCCCCGGCCTGCTCTCCATCTACGTGCAGCACTTTGGCCAGGCTGTGTCTGTGCGTGCACAGGTTCTGCTGGCCGACCTCTACCTCACCCTCCCCGCCGTGCTGAACCCCATCATCTACAGCATGAGGACCAGGCAGATCCAGAAGGCAGTGCTCAACCTGCTGCGCCCCAGGAAGGCTCACGGCTGTCACAGCGCTCAGTGACTTCCCAGGGCTGTGGACCCACACAAACACAGCACCCATTCCATTCCCAGTGGATGCACACAGGGAACAGAAGCCATGAGGGGATGGGGGAGGACTTGTTGGCTTTAATGGCTGTGTGAGACCCTACAGTGCGACAGGACGTGTTTGGGACCGGGATGATGAGCAGATGCCAGGCTGCCATTGCCCTTTCTTCTCACAAGAGAAGAGGTGCATCCACCGGCTTTGGGTTTTGAGATGTTCTCTGTGCTGTGAATGTCCCTGTGATGGTTTAAAATTCACAACTGCACGTGTCTTTGTGTCAATAAACAGATTCTATTCGAAATGGGGAAATTTCTTCCACGGTGTCTTTTTGACTCAATGCAAACCTATCGTTGCTGTCAGCAGGAGACTGCCCTACATTGCAGGGACTGTAGTCAGCCAGTTCCTGTGGGATGTGTAAGATAGATGAGTGAGAAATCATCATCTAATCTTTAAGACTGGAAAAGACTTCCAAGATCCCAACCCAAACCCCAGCCCAACCTCACCCCACCCCCACCATACCCACTGACCACAGAGCCACGGTTCCGGAATGCCTCCTGGGACTCCTGAGTAAGGAATCATAGAATCATATATCATAAAATCACAGAGCATCCTGATACACAACCTCAGACTCCTCTGTTATTGCTTCATGCCATTCCCTCTGTTTCTATTGCTGGCTCCTCCTTGTTAGGTAGCCACACGCTGCCACGAGGGGCTGTAGGGCCGTGGGGGGCTGTAAGGCCATGGGGGGCTGTAGGGCCATGGGGGGCTGTAGGGCCGTGGGGGGCTGTAGGGCAGTGGGGGGCTGTAGGGCCGTGGGGGGCTGTAGGGCAGTGGGGGGCTGTAGGGCCGTGGGGGGCTGTAGGGCAGTGGGGGGCTGT